ATTTTTTTATTTGGTGTTGATAATTTTGTAATTTTGTTAAAGTTAAAGGTTAAAATGGGTATAAGAAAGGAATAGGAAGGGTGAAATTGGAAAAAATTGAAAGAAGATTGCATGAGAAATTGAACCAGTGGTTTTTCTGGTTCCACCGGTTCTATCGGTTTTTATCGGTTTTATCGGTTTGCTCACATCAATTTTATCACTTAATCAACTCTCACCCCTTTTTTCTTTTTCACCCGAACTCTCACTTTGCTCACTTTGGTGCTGCACTCTTACCCTTTTTTTGCTTGCTTGCTGCCTTGCCATTGCATGGGTATTTATAGGGTAAAAACCCAACCACCCGGTGCAACATTTCTTCACCTCATTAAATGAGGTTTTTGCAATGGTTGAAATAACCATTGCAAATTTTCAGCAACTGCTGCTTACAGGTGCAGCCTTTGGCCATAGGACGGTAGAAAAATGGGGTGGACTTTCATGGGCTGGAAGCTTCCGCCAACACAAATACATCATGGTTATTTATTGAGTTGTTTGTGCTATTTATATACTTAAAATTGCACAGAACTTTTATGCAGAGTGTTTTTGGTGATATTGGCAGTGCTGGTGGTTTGAAGATAGGGCTTGGAGGAAGGAAAATGGGGGCTGAGAAAGTGCTGAGAAAGGGGATCGTGGAAGCAGCAGGAAAGGCTTCAAAGATTTCAGGTGCAACACTTAGTTTTGAACGAAAGAAGGATTCCAGTGGAAAATGTAAATTTTGGGATACAAGTATTAGGACTACTAAGAATGTTGATGGAGCTCGTTTAGTAGCTTTTGGTGCTGATTACCATGGGCAAAAACGTCACCCTCCTAAGCATAACTGAGTGAAAAAAGGAAAAAAAGAAAAAAGAAAAAATGAAAAACTCCACTGACCCTCTTAAGATATCCAACATTTTGTCCACTTTCAGCCCTTGGGAAATCTTACTTTGTATGCAATGCAAAAAAATAAAAAAATATTGTATATAGAAAAGGGATTTGGATTTCCATATGTGATATATGCTTTTTGAAAATCAATATGTGCTGTTTCATTTTGGGGATAATTTTGTTGTGCAGGAAAGCACAATGATGCTTCAAACATGAGATTTCAAGATGAAGCTAATTCCCATCAGGTTTCCTTCTCTCCCTTCTAGGAACTCCTCATTCTTTTATACGCTTTTCCCGTTACTTACTTTGTGTTCAAACCAGATTGATCTCAACAAGTTGGAGACAAAGACATTGATATCTATTGGCACCGGCTTGGATGACCCTTCAAAGGGTCATAATCAAGCTGATAAGGGAATGAGGGGGAAAGAAAGGCTTCTTTCTGTGGTGAAAGAGTTGGTGAACCTATTGCAGAAGCATGCCTCCTCTGAAACCTCCAATCCACAACAACGAGCAACAGCATTGATATATAATAGTATATCCCCACACCCTGCATAGGTTTAGGCTCACAATTTTGCCCTCAGCTTTGGAAGTGATCCCTTAAACCTATATAAGAACTTGTGCTTTTGTCTCTATTTTTTTGTAATGGGTCATAAAGGCATGCATTGGAAGAAGGACAATGTTCTGTTTTTCTTGCTAGGGATATGTAGGTATAGGAAAACATTTGAAGTTCTGTACGTTAATGTAAGTTGTTTGATCTCTTGCTATTATATATGTGTATCATGCTGCTATATGGTTTGGTCAACAAAAATATATAATGCAATTGCAAATCACATTTTCTTATTTAATTTGATTAATTATCCCTTACCATGTGATTCATAGAAAGAATTAGGTTCACATGAGGTGGTTATCTCACATTACTGAGATGCCAACCAATATTTATTGTACATCAAATAATGAATTATATAATGAATGAACAATAACGACATTAATTATTCTTGATATATATAAATTCCTTCACTTCTCCACGAGGTCCTTTATATTGAAAGGAAGGCAGACGGTTGTGTCATTGATGCATCGGCTCGCTATTACAGAGTAGACAGCTTCAGTAAGATGAAATGCATCCCAAAAATAATGCTCCTCTGGGTTAGGGCATGGCTTTAGAAATGGAATGCACATAGAAGTCCCATTCCCCCAGGTAGTGCAACATGGATTGATTGAATCTTTTAGACCTGCAAATTTATATTCATTCAGCTAATGCCTACAATTAACTTAACAAAAGAGAGATATGATTCAAGTGTTCTACCATATTTAGAAGGGTGCACAACAGCATCGTAACCTAGCCAATTAGCACGGCCAAGAACAAAAATGGAGCCCCGGAGGGTGGATGTCAAATTGTTTAGCACTGCAGGAAGTCTGTTGTTAAAATAGGAGGCTAGCTGGTTTGTTTCCTCGAAGCATTGTCCTGTGTGTTCATGTGTCTTGGCAACCGAGGGAATGCACCCAATTGGGCCAATTTCAAACATAACCACCTTCCTTGCTCCCAAATTATATAGCTTCTGCAATTAAACAGATAAATTGTTAAAGATACAACCAATTGAATATGTCGTCATGGCTCTAATACCATATTAAGAATGAAGAAAAAATGGGAAGAGATGATGACCTCAAAATGATGAGAAAGTGCATCAGTGAGAACTTGAGCGAATTGCTGAGGGTCGCGTTGGTTGCTTGGGTTCTGGTAATTATTGAGGTAGTCATTGTTTCCTATGGAGACTAGAAATATGGACTTGGATAGGTACTCTGAAAGCTCACGTGAGCCACCAAACTGTCTTGGCAACTCTGACTTCACTGTCCGTTCGAACAAATTGATTTGATCTCCCAAGTTCAAACATTTGCCCTGAATTCCATAGAAAAAACAAAAAGAGAGTAATTGAGTACTTCTTTTTCCACTTATTTATTTTCTCTTGTAATTTACCTTAGAATCTAATTATTTCTTACAAATAAGCTTCCAGTTTCAGGCAGAATACCACATGTTCCTGATGCATAGTTAAAACCTGTGAGGGTTGCGGGTACGCGCACACTCAGATAAGGTGGAGCGTAAGGAAGACCTAGAAATTCAGCTGCAAGAAACAAACCAGAAAGAAGAAAAGGCAAATTTTCATGTATATTTGCGGAAAAGTGATGCAGACTGCATATCTTAGAATTAATTAACCGTTGATGAGGGGCAGACCCTTAATATTGAGTGGTCTTCCTTTATCAATAATTATAAAACATATAGTACGTTTATCTTCTGTGTAGGTTTATCTATATGCTTGTATATGTACTGACATGGGTTTTTCAATATGCTGCCATGCACCTAAAATATCGATCGGTAGGTTTAAAGGACAAAATACCTTAATGTATATATATATATATTTTTTATTTTTTTATACATCTTAATGGATAGTACATAAAGATTCATTGATAGTATTTTTGTCTTTTTCAATCTCATGCCAAGAAATGTTGTATGGATTTTAGGTGTCCTATAAATTCAAGGGTCTGGACGAATATACACTACAGCCATGTCTAAATAAGAAAAATAATGAAACTTGCAGCATACGTACCTACAAAATCTGGTAGTGTCCTTCCATTGGTGAACCTTCCGGTGATTCCTTTGTCGAAATTAGAACCGTAAGGAAGGTAATTAGCCTTAGCAAGGGTAGGCAAGAAGTTGTTATTGCCACTATCAAGCAGTGAATCTCCAAACACATATAGTGCAGGGGCAAGTGGTTTAACATCGGTGCCAAATGCTAAACAGAAGATGTGACAGAATGCAAAAAGGAAAACAGGGGAGCCTGAGCTCTTCATTTTGTCCCAGAAAGAAAACGAGTTTCCCTGAGAAGGAATATTGAAAGAAATGAAGTAGTGCCTGAAGAAGGAATTCAAATTAAAAGAAA